AATTTGTGCAAAGTGCCTTTCCCAAGGACACAACGTCGGGCCCCTGACGGGATTCGAACCCACGACCTTACGGTTGCGAGTCCGACAGTCTGACAGCCATTATTTTGACGAGTGCTTCATTTCGCCATGATGCCTCACAAATGCTATCTATTATCCATCATTATTAAATAATACGTTTTTCCAAAAATGTTTCAGGAACGGATGAGAAGGCAATCATCAGTGTCTTAGGCCACCGCTCCATGGACCAGAGGAAGGAGATCGCTCTCTCTTACAAGACTATGTTTGGGAAGGTCAGGGATTACTTCATCATCATCATCATCATCGTCATCATCATCATCATCATCATCATCATCATCATCATCATCATCATCATCATCATTGCCTTTCTCACCCTGCACCAGGGTATAGGCCACGTACAAACACCTTCCACCTTTCTCTATCGTGGGCCAGCCTCTTGATGTTATTCCACGTCTTCCCGCTTTTCTGTACATATTTCTGTGATTCTTCTCCAGGTTCCTTTGTCCGCTGTCCTTCATTGTTCCTGCTGATACAGAAGCTCCTCCGTCTCCCAAGATCGAAAAATAAAAAGCTGTGTTTGTCCGTGTTTCTGTAACTTACTGTTTTTTACTGGGTTGGGTAGTTGGCCCTCCGCAAACTGGCACTTTTCGGGCGACTAGACCTTCGCATTTTTAGTCGCCTCTTACGACACGCAGTATCACGGCAGGTGTATTCTTTGCTCCCCCATAGTAAAACTATGGGGCCCCCCACCAGCAGGGGAGAGGGATTACTTACTTACTGTACTTACTACCCGTTACGCCATCTGGCGTTTAGGGCAGCAACAAAGGATCTCCAGCTCTGTCTGTTTTGGGCCATCTTGGTCAATGTCCCCCACGAATGATTCCAGGACTTCATTTCAGACTCTACTGTGCGTCTCCAGGTCACTTTGGGTCTGCCCCTCTTGCGATTTCCTTCGGGTGTCCAGTGGAGGGCAGTCTTCACTATAGAGTCTGGTTCTCTTCTCAGAACATGGTCAGGGATACTAGAGGCAGAAACAAAACAAAACAAAGGACTTATTCTTTAAAATGTTGGTGTTCTTATGTTC